AGGACAGAAGGGTTTGGGGGCTGCCCCTGCCCACCCGGGGCTCTCTCAGCAAACACAGCCCCAGCTGCACCTTTGGGCCTTTTTGGTTTTCTGTGACATTTGAGATTCCCTTTAGACATTTCCATGGCAGCAGCTCATGTCCAAAAAGGCTTGGGCAAAACTGTGGGACCTTGTACCTGATGCTGGCAGCAGAGGAGGAGCTCCTGGCAGCTTTTCCCATTTTCCTGCTGACTGCAGTGGGGATGTGGCAGTCCCAGGTTGTCCAGGATTGCTTCCACATGGGACCCTCCTCTAGACTTAAGTCCCTTATTCTTGTTATTCTTTTATTACCACAAACATCTAGAATTAATGTTAAACATGTGAGAAAGAACTTATTAAAATTATTAACCAGTGGGTGACTGAGTTATGAGCATTACATATTTCTGTGCTCACTGGATGTTTAAGTCAAGATCCATTTTGTTTTTCAGTAACTGGAAGATTTGCTGTCCAACTCCACTCTGAAAATAAAGATATTAGAACCTTATTATTTCAAAACTTTTTCTGAAGACTAATGTTCTGAAGATTAATGAGTTTTCCTGAGGGTTTACATGACTTTCTCATGGAACTGCCTACAAGGACGTAGCTTTCTCTAAAGTGATGTAGGCAAATCCAAGATCCTATTAAACACAAAATGCCTTTTGTTTTAATTTCATCTGATTTCAAAATCCTACAAAACTTCTGAATCTGAAATAATACCAAAACACTTTACAATTACAGCTGGTTTCCTACAACTTTAGGACTTGGAATTACCCAGTACAACAGTAATTTTAAATTGGCCATATCTTGATGAAGAGATGGAACAAACACTGCAACACGTGTATGAACTTGACTTTTGAGTCCAATTTTACTCCCTTGGAAGGAAGTATATTTTGACTTGAAAATTGTATGTGGTGAGTGACTCCACAGTCATGGGGAAAGAGAGATGTTTCTCTACATGGGAGTTTGCTGCCTTGAAAAGAACTTCATTGTTTGCCTGTAAAGAATGAAAAATGCTCTATGTAAGAACAAAGTCATGAATTTTTTTTCCTGTTGTCTGCTTTAAGAAAATTATCTGTACAGTTGCAACCAGTGAATTTGTGCCTGTGTTAATGCTGTAATACATCTGCAATTACCTATGAACAAAAATTAATTAATTTTGTGTGCTGTATGGCTTTTTTTTCTCTATTGAAATGCAATTTGCAGTCAGGATTAGTGCAATGGACAACAAAGAGCCCTAAGGTTACCCCCCTCAGCTCTTGTCCTCTTTCAAGGTCTAAAGTTCTGCCAGGTTACCCCAAACATTAATTTTGATGTGGGATCTGGCTGGGATAAGCTTTATAAATTCAGTTTATAAGATCCCAGTGTTGCTGCTGAAGGCACTGCTCTCCTTGTGAGCAACACCCCTGGTGTGGGGCGGGTTTTGGGGGGAGGTGAAGAAATGCTGCCCTGCCTCTGGGCACACATCAACCAGAACAGGTCAGGTTGTGATGTCTTGGAGGATCACCCAGGGAAGTCCCAAGGTCCCATCAGGCATCCAGGCAGGCACAGGAGCAGTGTGGCTCATGATTTCCCCCGGCACAAATCCTCAGCCCCAGCGCTGGGCTGGGCTCCTCTTTGCACTGTGTGCCCACACAGAAACCTCCCCTGTCCTGGGAGCAGCAGCAGCAGCCGAGGGAAAGGTGCTCAGAGCACACAGACAAACCCTGGAGCTGTGAGACATTGCCAAGGCTGTCACCCAGGGGAGAGGAGCCTCCTGGCACCACCCAGCTCCCTCCCAGCTCAGCACTCGAGGTGTTTGACCTGGATCTGTCACCAGCGATCCCACTGCACTGCTGGAACCTCTGGTGACAAGGCCAGCAGCAGCAATGCAGTCATGGTCCTTGGAAAATTCCAGAAATATCAGAAACATTGTTAAGAGTGGCATGAAAGGGGAGAGCAGCTGAGTGTGGAACCCCTCTGCCCAGGAGAGAGAGGGCAGGGCAGGGGATGAAGGACCAAAACCTGTCAGGATGCACATCTGTGGTGGTTTAAAGGTGGTCTCCAGAGCAGGGCTCTGGGAATTGGGAGAGCTGGGTCTCATTTGGTTGTTTTCCCTTCACAGGTTTTATCCACATAGATGCTGATATCTGCAGGGTCTTTGAGATCACCATGTCAGGCTTCCCTTCCCCTTGTCCTGCAGAAATAGTTTGTCTATTTATTAAAAAGGCAATTTGAAACTGTATTGCAGCAAAAAAAAAAGAGGATGGAAAACTTCTACCATCAACTCTCCTGCCATGTGGTGTTTAGTCCAGGGTCCCCCTCCTTTCTGTGGTAATTAACTGAAATCTTGATTAGCATTATCTCAGATAAGCCATCTTTGACATCTGCCTGCATGAGGCCCTGTCTGTGCACGGGGGTGTTTTAGGAGCAGCCTGGCTCTAATCCTTCCCCAAATTAAAGTGGTGACACCGTTTTGGTGTGGTGGCATCGCCGGCCCTGGGGCACTGCAGGGTTCATCTAAAGCCCGAGTGCCACCTCCAGGGGCTCCCAGCCGGTGCCACCAGCGCTGCAGAGCTCCCTGGATGTGCCACCCTGTTGCTGGGGACAGGCAGCACCAGCTCCGCTCCACACACGCGCTGGCACGCAGGGTCAGTAATTAAAATCAATTAAATAATTAAAATAAATGCTTCTCCATGGATCCAGTGGGAATGTGGTGAATGCAGCAGATTCCTGAGAGCTGGTAACGAGTGGGAGAGAGCAGAGAGCCCTGGAGAGGCCAGCAAGGCTGGGCTGAGGAGGAGCAGACAGGCTCTAACACCCTGCAGCCCTGCCACCATTTCCTCCAGCTACCTTCCATCTAAGATCAGCTCTGCTGCACTTACTCTTGGCAGCCAAAACAGCTGCATCTCTCTCCTTAAAAAAACAAAACAAAACAAAAAAACCCAGCGGAATCTAAGTCTCCCTGCAAATGTAACACGCAGCCGATACAGAACTGATGATTTTGCTAAACTCTGACTTGCAGCAAGTACTTTTTATATCATGACACTGGATTCTGATGCACAAAAGAAAATCAAGTTCTTTTCCCTCTGCACGCCCCACAGTTGTCAGAATCATTGCTTCTCTTTGTTTTTTACGTACAGTAACTAGGAAGAGATGCTTTATAAACTCTCTTGTTCCTCCAGTCAGGATGTCAATGAACTATGAATAATGAAATAAAATAAAAAAAAAATCCAAGTGAATGGCTAAGATCCAGCAGAGAATTTTAACTGGGGAAGAGAAGCAGCATAAGGGCTGCATGACAATAATCATCATTACTGCTAATAAAGCATTTCTTCCTGCTGGTGTGGTGCAGGGGACAAAGGGGGCCCGGATGCGGTGCCGGACCCGGCATGTGCCGATCTGCCCACGCTCCCTCCTGCTGATCCCGGGAGAACTGGAACTCTTCCAACCCCAAATGCCAAGTGATCCATCAAAGCAATGATTTACAAATGCAAGAGTGGGCTCTGGTGGCATTTCTCAGGGGGTAAAGATGGACTTCCCTTTCTTCTTCCAAGAACGCAGAATCAGTTCTCGCTCCCTTTTCTGAGGTGTCGCGTTCATTTTAGGGGAGATGGGCTCTTGCAGAGGTGCCCACACGTTTACACAAACACTTCTCACGCTTTATTTGGTTGAAGTTGGATGCAGTTTTTTCCTTTTTCCCACTGCTGTGATATTAAAGTCATAGAACCACAGAAGCATTTAGGTTGGAAAAGGCCTTTAGGATCATGGAGCCCAGCTGTTAAACCAGCGCTGCCAAGTCCAAACCTTTCACGCTGTTGGAGAAGGTTAATTTGTTTGTTGAACACAAACAACTGGCAATGCCTTAGGCTGTTCACTACTTCCTTTTTCTTGATACCAGCAGCTTTTCCCCTCCTGCGACCGAAGCTTTACTCACGCCTTCTTTCAACTGATCTCCAGCATTATTTTATTTATGAATAAAGGTCACCCCGTGAGGAAATGGCACATCTACTAGAAAACAATGTGCACTTTCTAAATTTGAACCGAGTCGTTTCCGTTCTTTGATTTAAGTTTAGTTACTTCCTGTGGTTTCTTGTCCTACGCCACTGCTGAATCTTTGGATTGACTCCAGGATAAATTGCACTCTTTCAATGAAATTAGAAACTGCGGCAGTGACGGCTCAGCCAGAGCGGCTGGTAAACAGCGCTTCAGCGGGATATCAGTGCCCTCCGTGGGCTGCAGCAGTGTGTGTGTCACACAGGTGACACAGTGTCACCTGTGTGAGGGGATGGAGCCAGCCTGAGCCATGTGGGTGCTCTCCTGGGAGCTGCACCCCAGGCTCCCACCCTGCTCTGGCACCAGACAAGGTCCTGAGCGAGCGCTTCCCCTCCCGTGGGAGGGATAAAGGAGCCTTTGGAACCAGCGGCTCCTGATGGAGAGGGGACACCTCCTCACCAAAATCAGGCTGTCCTGCCAGAGGCAGGTCCTTGGTTAGCCAGGACAGGTGCTCAGCCCCACGCTCTGAAGCACCTTTGTAGCAGGCCACAGTCCTGAGTCAGGCTTTTTAGGGACCTGAGTCGATTGGGGAAGACCTTCAAAGTTTGGAGAAGTCATTTCAGGAAGTTTGCTGACAAAACCACAAGCGAATATACACCACTAGCCCCAGGATGTGCTTTCCCTCCGCGAAACCATGACTGGGCTCTTCAGGAGCCTGCAGTGACCACAGCCCTCCCAGGGCTGGAGCGGCTATAGATGGCCAAAGTCAGGGAGGGGGACAGCAAAGGAGGAGTGAGGCACTTTGTACCTGAGTGCTTTGCCTCCCTCAGACACAAATTTACCTTACAGGACCTTCAGCGTAACAACCAGCCCCAGGAAGGAGCCGTTCTGGCCTGCAGCATACTGCAATAATGACACGCTCTCTCTCTTTCCCCCCCATCCCTTTTCTTTCCCCTTCCCTTCCCGCAGGACACTTGAGCACAGATTTTCCCCCAGTAGTCAGACTGATTTCTCCATGGAGCCCCGGATTCCTCACAACATCACCGTCGTCCCCAACTCTGTGATGGTGCAGCCCTTGCTGGACAGTCGGATCCCGTACGGGCGGCTGCAGCACCCGCTGACCATCCTGCCCATCGACCAGATGAAGACCACCCACATCGAGAACGACTACACCGACAACCCCAGCGCCTCCCAGCCGCCAGCCCAGAAGCGCCCCCGCGCCCCCCAGGAGCTGGGCTTGGGCAGCCAGCACCCGCAGCGCTGCGAGCAGGATGTCACCCACCCCTGGATCTCCTTCAGCGGGCGCCCCAGCTCCATCAGCAGCAGCAGCAGCACATCCTCAGACCAAAGGCTGCTGGACCACATGGCCCCGGTGCCCGTGGCAGAGCAATCGTCCCCCCGCGCCGTTCGCATCCAGCCCAAGGCCATCAACTGCAAACCCCTGGAGCTGAAGGGCCCCGCGCCTCAGGAGCTGGACAAGCACTTCCTGCTGTGCGAGGCCTGTGGGAAATGCAAGTGCAAGGAGTGCGCCCTGCCCCGGACTCTGCCGTCGTGCTGGGTGTGCAACCAGGAGTGTCTGTGCTCGGCGCAGAACCTGGTCAACTACTCCACCTGCATGTGCCTGGTCAAGGGCGTCTTCTACCACTGCACCAACGAGGACGACGAGGGCACCTGTGCCGACCACCCCTGCTCCTGCTCCCACTCCAACTGCTGCGCCCGCTGGTCCTTCATGAGCGCCCTGTCCCTGGTGCTGCCCTGCCTGCTCTGCTACCTGCCCGCCACCGGCTGCGTCAAGCTGTCCCAGAGATGCTACGACCAGGTGAGCCGGCCCGGATGCAGATGCAAAAACACAAACAGTGTCATTTGCAAGGCATTGCCCGAGAGCAAAGGGGCAGAAAAGCCCTTTTAATGGTCTGGGAGGACGGAGTTGGGAGGATGCTCCGCGGAGCAGGGTGGTGGTGGCTCTTTTTAATAACCTGTGTTCTGAGGAGAGCGTTAGCCTCTTGCCTTCGGAGAAAGCAGAAGCAACTATTTCCACAAACTGAAGCACTTTGGGTTATTCAGGGTTTTTGGAACTGGTCACAGTTTGAGTAGATGGGGCCAAAGGAGGAATGTTAATAATGCAGAGTGAAGGCTGCAAAGCCGTGTACATCGTGAAGTACAGCTGCTGGAAAACTCCCGGCTTGGACGGACGGCTGCTCACCAGGCCTGCACACCACAGGAACCATTAACTGCTCGCTTGGCAGGCACCGCCTCACAACCAATCCCCATCCCCAGCTGCAAAAAGCTGCTTTGAATTTGGATTCAGGGCGGGCTACTTGTTTCCTGCCTCCTTCCAAACCCCAGCTCGCTCCCCGCAGCCTGTTGAAGGTGATGGGGGAACTCTCTCCACCCTCCTTCCCTCCTAGGCACCACTCCAAGGGCTGGTTGCACACAAAGTACGTGTTTCCCAAAAGCTTTCTGCGTCCCTCAAAGATTTTTGGAGCAGAAGTGAAGCTACATTTCATTTGCTGAAGGCTCTTTTGCCCTTTGGGCGTTTCCCACCCGGCCCCACTGGTTTGGAACCCCTTTCTAAAGCAAGATGGTAGCAGGGCTGCTCTTCCCAGGAGGAATCGCAGCAGGATGTGTTCGGACAGTTGTGTCAACAGCGGGTTCTTCTGCCTGTAAGCTGATCCGTGGCATCAGGTTTCACTCCATGGAATATGAATTTTCCATCAGCAGGACAGCCCCGCTCCGGGAGGATGGAGGCCGATCCCGTTTCCCCCAGGCCCTCGCTCGCTCCCCGAGCAGAGGGGATGCAACTCAAGGGCGGGGTTTGTTTCTCTAAACCTCCGGTAAGAAGTCACACCAAGTGTACGATGCACATAGGTGTATTTTTCTAGGGATCTCAATCCAGTACCTCCTCCCCTCCTGGAACAAGCTCCTCTTTGCTCATTAAATATTAAGATTTGTTTTTGTCTTGGGGGTGAATGGCATTTGCTTGAAGTACAGCACATTCCCCCACCCCTATTGCTGCTGTTTGACTTTTGCCTCTTCTGTACAAAAGTGTCTTTTTAAGTGTAAAGAATGCTTTTAGTGTTTATTTTAGTGTTAACACACACTAGGGAAAGCCAGGGGAAGGAGGAGAGCGTAGTTAAAGAGTGGGCCCGTGGTTTCCAGCACGCAAATATTGGCTCTGTCCTTGCACTCATCCTGGGGCTGGTTCTGCTTTCCCCAGGATGTTGTAACCCCTCTCTCTTGACAACTACAAGGTGCTAAACAAGAACCTTGGTCCAAACATGCAACACTCTAATGAGTAGGTAGGTACTTGTTGCATGCAGAAAACTGACCTAGTGTCTCTTGGTGTTTTTAATGAGAGGAGATTTCCTCAGTAAATGCACAGCAGTGACAGTGAAATGTCATCTCTAATTAGATAAGCAATAGGCAGAGCTCATGTAGCATTTCCAGGAATCCCGTTGGCCTGGCTGCAACACGGCCGCGGGTCGGGGCTGGCAGGAACATCCTGATGGGACTCTGGTGTCTGAGTTTCAGAACTCAGCTCAGCTGGATGGCTTGGGGTTTAGCTCAGTTGAATTGTAGATATTTATTGAATGGGGGAGTTAAAAAAAACCAACAAACTTTTCTATTTATAACATTTGCTAGCATGTACATGCTGAATCACAGAAAAAAGGATGTACTGTCTGTTACCAGATACCAGCTCCTCTAGGGTAGCCTCGTGTGTGGGCACCAGGAAGCAGGTGGGGATCCAGAGCTGTATTTATTATCCTGCACAAATCTGAGGGGAAAAGATAAAAGGAAAACCGACCCCAAACTGGTGGAACTGTTGGTTGAATGTATAAGATGTATTTAATAAAAGAAATCATTTTCCTAAGATACAGGCAAGTTAGAAAAGGCAGCAGGAGAGGATTTGCTTGCTGCCCTCCTCTGTTGGGAGCACACATGTCCAAATGGCCTCCACCCACGGCTGCTTTGCCTTTTTGACCCTCTGTCCCTGGCGAATCTGTGCTGAAAACCCTCAGTGGCAGAGCCCATGGCTCGGTGCCTGGTCCCCGTGAGCAAAGGCACCGCTGGAATGGTGGTCCCTGTGCCAACCTACACTCGTGTACACACTCCCAGCAATCCCAGCCGGGTTTCCTCTCATTGTACATAGCTGTAAACTATTTCTCTGTTGGTTTGTTTCAGTACCTAAGCCCTGTAAGGCGATGATGCCGTGCTGGAGCCTGGCGGGCGTTGTGGATGTGTTAGAGCAGTGGTCAGTGTAGCAGTGACCCTCCCTGCTCCTCGGCTCCCGGCACTCTGCTCCGGCAGCTCCCAGCCCAGGGCAGGCCAGGGAGCTGCAGAGCCCTGGCTGGAGCTGGGGAAGGGCCAGGGCTCTGCCAGAGGGAGCAGCTCCATCGATAACGTCGGTGTTCCCGCTTTTCCCCATCCCAACAATTCCATCCCCACATTCCCTTTGAAGGTACTTGGGGCTCCTGCTGGCCCAGAGCTGCACCACGGGCACGGTGTCCTGTCACTGAGTGACCCTGTCACCTCCCTGTGACCCTGTCACTGAGTGACCCTGTCACTGAGTGACCCTGTCACTGAGTGACCCTGTCACTGAGTGACCCTGTCACTGAGTGACCCTGTCACTGAGTGACCCTGTCACTGAGTGACCCTGTCACTGAGTGACCCTGTCACTGAGTGACCCTGTCACTGAGTGACCCTGTCACTGAGTGACCCTGTCACCACCCTGTGACCCTGTCACTGTGCGACCCTGTCACCACCCTGTGACCCTGTCACTGTGACCCTGTCACCGTGTGACCCTGTCACTGTCCGACCCTGTCACCACCCTGTGACCCTGTCACCGTGTGACCCTGTTACTGTGTGACCCTGTCACTGAGTGACCCTGTCACCACCCTGTGACCCTGTCACCGTGTGACCCTGTTACTGTGTGACCCTGTTACTGTGTGACCCTGTCACCACCCTGTGACCCTGTACTTGTGTGACCCTGTCACTGAGTGACCCTGTCACCGTGTGACCCTGTCACCGAGTGACCCTGTCACTGTGACCCTGTCACCGTGTGACCCTGTCACCGTGTCCCAGCCCCTCACAGGTCCCAGCCCCTGCTAACGAAGGGACAGTGGCTAACGAGCACAACCTCTGTGATGGCCATGGGGGCAGGAGGGCAGGGGAGCTGCCCCTGGGACAGGTGCCATGCTTTGCAGGAGGAGGATGGCAGGGCTCTGCTAATTGCTGCAGCCCTGCAAATTGCTGCAGCAGGTTCATGCCAGGGTTTGCCCCTGCCCTCACACCATGTCCCAGCCAGCAGGAAGGGGGGAGCTGAGGGTGCTGGCAGTGCCACACCGCATTCCCAGCAGGAGCAGAGCGGCCCCAAGAGACAAAGACACTGTCACCACTGCCCCGTGCCCGTGCCCAGCCAGTGCCAGGAGCAGGTCCCAGATTTGGTGCTCCCTGGACACCAGTTTTGCCACCCTGATGAGCCCTCACCCTTCCCAGCACTGGGTATTCCCTTCCCCTCCCATGCTCAGACACCCTGAGAAATATTTCCCCACCTCCTCTTACCCTGCCCTCACATGTACACCCTGAAAAGTTACCACAGAAGGTTTTTCTTTGTATAGAATATTTATTTTGAAGCTCTATTTTAATAGTATTTATTTTAGAAAGTCTACTATTGTAAGAGTTCTTCTGTTTGTGAAGAAAAACAAGTACTGATGAATGTACTGATCTAGAAATTATATATATATATATATAAATATATATTGTTAAATATATAAATGGCTGTTGTGGTTCTTTAAAAAAAAAATCCCAAGAATGTTTATAGCAATTACTCTAAAAATGCAAGCAGAGAGTAGCCCAGAATTGGTTATTTCATGCTCTGCCCAGGAACTCAGGGTGATGCTGGGGTTGCTCTGCCCATCAGGGGCTCATCAATTCATTATCCCTCAAATCCCTGCAGTGGGAAGAGGCCTCAGTGAGGAGTGCCCTGCTCTGTGAACAGGAGCAATCCTCTCCTTCCCTGCACCTCTAAATCCTGGAAGCCAGGCTGCTCCTCACATCCCTCACAGCGGCGAGGGCACGGACACTGAGGAGAGCCAAGAGCGGCCCCACCACGGGGGGGCTGTGCCAGCCCCATCCCTCAGAGCCTCCCTCAGCATTTCAGAGCCTCCCTCAGCATTTCAGGGCCTCCCTCAGCATTTCAGAGCCTCCCTCAGCATTTCAGAGCCTCCCTCAGCATTTCAGGGCCTCCCTCAGCATTTCAGGGCCTCCCTCAGCATTTCAGGGCCTCTCCCATCTCCCCTTCCCTGTGCTGCCCACCCAGATCAGCCCCCCGGGGCCGTGGGTGGGCGCAGAGCATCCTCCAGCCCTGGCACCCCAAGGTGCCCCCAGGCTCGGGGCAGCCAGGACTCTCCCACCTCCCTGGAAAAGGGCAAGGAGCTGTCAAGGAGCGACTCCCTGTGTCCCTGCCCAACCTCTGAGCCACATCCTGGGGCTCCCAGGCACCAGCACCCACCACCCTTCCTGCCCCCAGCTCCTCCTGTGTCACCAGCATCGCACCCGACTGCTAAAAATACAGGATCCGGGTTATTTTTCACCATTCCTGTTATTTATTTGCACACTCTGCAGAGCTGTGACTCACTGGAAGCTGTGCCATGTTTTGTGTCATCACAGAGGTAACCCGAGTGTGTTACCTGGCCTGAAATAATATTATTGAAACAATAATGTTGAATTAGTCAATGGATCAGATAAAGAGACAATAACTACACTGTGCAGATCACAACATCTGATGCCAACAAATTTGCAATAAGGAAAAGATACTGAATTTGTTATGCTGGGGGTGGATTTTCTTTTTTTTTTTCTTTTTTAAACAAACAGGCTGAGCCAGGATGTATAAATTTAAATCAGAGTTTGGCAACACCAACTGATGTCTTGCACATAAAGCTTTAAAAATACCAACACAACGCTCATGTCTCTCTGCTGGAAGCCAACCAGAGCACTCTGCTTCATTTGAGCAGTAG